CAGACACTGGGAGACAAATTCACCTTTCAGCAGTACAATAACCTGAAACACAACTGTTGCTAACCGAGACAACATTGAATGATGCTAAGTGGCCGAGTTACAGTTTTGACTTAAATCGGCTTAAAAATCTATGGCAAGACTTGAAAATGGCTGTCTAGCAATGATCAGCAATCAACTTGACAAAGCATGAAGAATTTTAAAAAGAATAATGGGCAAATATTGTCCAATCCAGGTGTGCAAAACTCTTAAAGATCTTCCCCAAAAGACTCACACCTGTAATCGCCGCCAAAGGTGCTTCCACAAAGTGTTGACTCTTGAGTGTAAATACTTATGTAAATGAGATATTTCAGTATTTCATTTCCAATAAATGTGCAAACATCAAAATAAATAAAAACACTGTCATTATGGGGTATTGTGTGTAGATGGGTGAGAAAACAATTGGTTGTAACACAACAAAATGTGGAATAAGTCAAGGGGTATGAATACTTTCTGAAGACACTGTATATGCACTTACAGATCCTGTGTGGCTCAGTTGGTAGAGAATGGTGCTTGCAACGCCAGTGTTGTGGGTTTGATTCTCACGGGGGACTAGTATGAAAATGTATGCAATCACTACAGTAATTCGCTCTGGATACAAGTGTCTGCTAAATGAAGTAAATGTGTTTTCGTTTTAGAAAGTTTTAGTTTTTTGTGTGTTTAACTAGCTGGCTAGCTAGCTTAAAGGGATAGTTCACCCAAATTACAAAATGACACATTGGTTTCCTTACCCTATAAGCAGTCTATGGACAAGGTATGAGAGCAATCCATGTTTTGGTTTAGTTTCCCTGGTACTGTTTCCACATGCTAACGTTCTAGCATTTGTGGCACAAATCCTATTTAAGTCAATGGACCGATATAAGCAATTTTGCGGATCATGTCCAAATCATCCAAAAGTATCTAACATTGATTGTGAAGCTCAACAAAGTCACTTATAGATGATTTGAACATGATGCATGAAAAATGCTAATATTGGTCCCATGACCTTAATGGAATTTTTGACACAAACGCTAAAACTTTAGCATGTGCAAATAGTGCCACCGAAACTAAACCAAAGCATGGATTGCTATCATACAGTACCTTGTCCATCAACTGCTTACAGGGTAAGGAAATGATCCCTTTAATACCATTCACATATTTCTAACTTATTATGAAGCCAAGAGATTGCTAAATCTAGTTATATTTGCCATTGGCTTGACTGGCAGCAAGTTGAGTGGATGAACAGGGCAGGGGCAACACCTCTTTGTTGCTTGTTTGTTAGCTGATTAATTTCAGTACAGCTGTGGCAGTTAACAGGCAATAACAAGCTACAGAAGATGAGTAAATAAATGGGGAAATTTACTTTTGAATTGATCTATGCTTCATATGACATATATTATTCATGTCCATGTTGCTCATTGCTCATCATTGCTCCAATGTCTCATACCCCATTCTGTTGCCAGCAACATCTGTTGGCAATATTGCTCACAAAATGCCAGTGTATCATCAGCTTTAGTCTGCAGAACAGCACACATTACCAAAGCTACATGATCACACATGTAGCATGATCCAGGTTAGTTAAAAGGGTTATTTACCTCTTTTGCATATTCTGGCATCTGTCGCTATGAGGGTTGTTTGGTTACAGCTGATTGGTCAGTCAACACCAGTCAAAACCAATCCAAATGACAACTGTGTGTATCGTTACTTTACATTGGTCATACTGTACTAACTAGCCTCCAGAAATCATGGGCTAATGTGCTGGCATCGTTGGACTCCCAGTGTGAGCTCTGACATAGACAGAAGAGAAAATTCAGACAGATTATGATGCCACATTATCACTGCAATGCAGCTACCTAAATACCCTTTCATCTCTGCACCTTAACCAAGCTCTATAACTTCCAATCTCTCTTCCAGATTCTTCATAGGAAAATCATGTTTCAGTGATGTTAATTTGAATGTTTTGCTTACTCAGTTTCAATGAGACAGCCTGGGAGTGCCGTCACCCCAGCCACCCTGAGTATGCATATGATGAAGCAGACAATGAGCATGAGGAGGGGCGTGATAAAACCGAGCAAGCTGTTTCTAAAAAAAGAACGAGTAATTAGTGAATATCATTGGAGAGGAGTATGGCGAATTAGAAGCCTGCTGGATCATGTAATTAGGAGTAGCCCTGTCTCGTCCACAGCACTGAGAGGAGGGTTCTGTAGGGATACTGCAACAGCAGCATCCCTTGGATCTCAGTGTGGGAAATATAAGAACCACAATGGCCATGCCTTCATCTTGACTACTTTAATGCTTGTGGAAAACATGATAAATATATTTCACAAAAATATTAGGATTGTGTATGATCATGACAATAATATGTTTGCCTTTAAATCAATGTGTGCATTTACAATTCTAATTTTTAATTGAGGCTTAAAACAGACTTTGAAGAGGCATGGCTAGCTAGCGGATCATCTGTTTATTATATCGACAGACGAGCACATGTGCCATTTCCCCTCTGTAGGAAGTGTGTATGTGGGAGTAGGTTATAGACAGTGTGTTGGTGTATGGGGGAGGGGGGTCTCCAGCAGAGTTGCAGAGCCATGCTTCTGCCTGAGAGCAGCAGTGTAGTCGGCCCCAATTGGAGCTCCAGACATATAGTGGCTTTTCTCTGCTCTATGAATCTGTTGAAGGGAGCAGCAGTGAGGCGTCTAAACGGACAAGTGGTGCACGTGCTGAGGGCTCAAAGCTCAATGATTCACTGTGTTGTGTATGTTTCATGGAGCCAGTCCACCCACTGAGCACAACAGCCCAGTTGTTTGATGGTTTCACCTGGCCCTGAGCTTGGTTTCACCAGGCCCTGAGCTTGGTTTCACTTGGCCCTGAGCTTCGTTTCACCTGGCCCTGAGCTTGGCTCCAGGAGAGAATACTAACAATACACCCAATGTTATCAGACTCTCACATGTGTGTCTATGCAAATGTCTAAAAAATGGGCCATTAAGATTGGTTGCTGATAGGTGCCTTAAGCTTACGTTGGCTAAATTTATGGCAAAGGGAGACATCTGCTCTTATTTCTTCAAATCTACTTACATTGTACGGTTTATATAACCATTCGATTAATTTGACTTTGGATTAATATCAATCCCCATAAATAGATAGCTAATTGAAAGAATAGAGGAAAAAAGCTCTGTTTAAATAGCTGCCTTAGAGAAGAGAGGGGTTTATGATAGAATGATCTGAGAGAAAGCAGATAACAACAGGTATGAAGTCATAAATAAAGTAGTTAGAAGACTGACAGCACCACATTAAAGGCTTTTAAACAAATTGGGTGCTCAGAGAGGCATATTGCCTATGTGCTACAACATGTTTTGTAGCTCAGCTATATAACCACTGTGACACAGAACACTAGCACAAGCCATAGGACATTATGCCATGAACTCCAACAAGCTCAGATAATGGGTTCCCTGATAATATTAGCATAATCTTAATACAGATTCTGAAGGAGGCCCCGGTTTTAGCCATAAGACAGGAACTCTGCTACCTCCAGCTCTTTGCATTATGTGTGAAGTGAAGAGAATGGATTTCCTTTTATTCTGCTAGAATAAGCACTTTGATCTGCAACAAATGAAGTGCCAGATTATTGCCTATGCTAACATTCTGTACAGTAGGCTAAAGCCAGTGCCATTTACACGTAATATGCTAAATATAAAAGTTGTTGATTACCAATTGCCACTGTTATTGTGCTGTGGTAATTTTGTTGAAACAGTCAGTTGGGTGTTATTTAAAAAATAGTGCTGATTACTGTCATGTGATGATGGCCACTCTGAAAACATCTAACTCTTATCCCAGAGGGGCGATATGGGAAAGCGCTCTCCAATCATCTGCTTTCTGTCACTGTACACTAATTTACTGCAACCAAACCTTCCTTAGGTAGGCTGAGAGTGCAATAGCACTGACAGCAACAAAACACCACGTTTTTTTGCAAGGAAATAGAAGGCACTGAGAATTGCTCAGGTGGGTCCACTTGAATAGGTTGCCAAGCATGGGCTAAAGCAAATCAAGATTTATGTCCAATCGACATAATCATTAACTAAATTGATTACATTAATGTATTGGCAAGGAAAACCATTTATTGATGTATGTCAGTGAATAAGACTGACACTTACACATGTGTATTCAAGACTGCCAACTGTTCTATGATCTTTTTTTATTAAAACAATTAAAATGGTCTATGGTAGGCCTATTCTGTGAATTACATGGACTTAGGACCTACCCTTATATAGCCAGCCACCTGTCTACTCTAGTCTATCTCATGGGTAATGAGCCTTCACTATCTGACTGCCTTGTGAAATGTATGCTTTTCATTCTCTGAGTAACAAGGAGTTACCATTCCACCTCATTAGGTTCAAAAAGAAGTGTCAATTCACGAATAATACAACTTCCATGTTTGGTTAATGAGAGTAGTCAGGTGGAACGTTTCATTCGAAACACCTGAGGACTAAGGTATCTCCTGCATGAAGAAAGAAAAACAGCTCACGCAACGTCTTCAATTTTACTTGTTTTGAATTCGCTGTCCAAGGTTCTGAAATGTGGTTTCCCAAGGATACTTCACGTGACTTCGCTTTCTAGCTCAGCTCACTGGTTTCGGGAGATTTCACGTGAGAATACGACAAACCACCTCGCGCACACTATAATTATCTTCCTTTGCCAGTCTCGGTTTAATGTCAGTCTCGGTTTAAACTCATAGTCGGTCTGTTTTTTCTTTATTTTTATGTAGGAATGTGGGAGTTGAAGCCCTAACATCTCTTCAACGAATTTAGGATGATACATCTGTGTTCTTTGTTTAGTTTCTCTCTTTTTTTACTTCATGCCAACATGGTAAATATAGGGGCAGAGCTGGCTACTGCTTGTCCGCAATCAGAAAGTCCACGTATGTCTGGGTACCGGCTTTAAGAGGATGTAAGGATCAAGTAGCTTTTTTCAACCAAAGTCTCCTTATAAAAATGCAGAAGGGAATACGACTTAATGATGGTCATGTCACCTACCTGGGTCTTTTGGCAAAGAAGGATGGTACGAGGCGAGGTTGCTTGAGCAAAAGGAGCTCAGACAACACAAAATGGCACACAAAGTGGTTTGCTTTATTACAAAATATGCTGTTTTATTTTGAGAGCGAGTCCAGCTCTCGTCCTGCGGGATTATACCTGTTGGAGGGATGTGTGTGTGACAGAGCGCCGTCACCTAAACCCTCACAATCATCCAAGGAGTGTTTAGAAAAGCAGGTAGGAATAGCACACACACAAGTTCACAACATTGTTTCATTTGTCTTTTTTTTTTTTTACGACTATAAAGTTATAGGTTGTCATTGAATAAACATGAATGATGCACCAGTTACCGACGTGCAGATATCCTTATGATGAGGTTGAAAGCAGGTAGTCATGTGAATCAGATGGTTCAGTGTTATCAGTGCATGTAGAGGATATTTTTGGGGAAAAGTATCCTTCATTAACCCCCCCCCCCCCCCACACACACACACACACACACATTATTTATGCTATTTAACCTATCCCTCTTTATCCACAGCAAGTATTACATTACAGTCCAGTGAAATTATAACCTACAGTTGGACTCTATCAGATTCAATTCAGAGCCGTTTGCTCAGTGTGCGTGTGTTATGTAATCTGTGCATCGGATTAATGATTCCATTATCAACACCTAATTGAATACCGAGCTGCCTCGCGGTTTTACTGCATTGTTTTTATTATATTTTATTAACAAGTATTTATTCGGTTTTGCTGCATTGTGCCTATATCGGGTTTGATTATTTTAGACAAAAATACAATAGGCAATTTATTGTCAATTATGGATTTCTACATGGTCTATAGGCCCACATGTTTTTGTTTTTTTATGTCGTTGATCTGGAACTATTGTTGTCAAACCTACGTAATGTTATCTCACTGTTATACAGTCAAGTTTGGTGACACTGTTTTCTTTTCTTTTTTTAAGAAAATTGCGCTAAAGAAAAAAAGGTATTGCGTACCACAGTCGCCATCTTGCGGAAATTTGACGTAATATCACTGTTTGACGTATTGATTTAACTCTAGCACTGATATTAATAGCATCCTACCTTGGCAACTGAGTCTGCAGCAAATATTGTTTAATAACAAGACCGTAGGCCAGTTACAACGGGCATGGGGTCATCATCAATATTGTTGTTATGTTTTGGAACACTGTATTTTGCTCTCAGAGAAATAGGATGAGTTATTCCTTCACATTGGGAGCAGAGGATGAGGCTGTTCAAATCTGGAAGAAAAAATAAAACAATAATTTGTCTTGATTGGCTTCTTACTGTGGGCCTATGATGCTGCAACCTGGTCTCAGATCATTTCGTATTATTCTTTATGTAAATCCGAGACACTCCATTTAGTATGATATGTTAAGTGTCATATGGTATGTATTCATTTGTGGATGTTCATCACCCATTTCCTATAGGCTGCAACCTGGTCTCAGAGCATTTTGTATTATTCTGTCGGTAAATCTGAGGCACTTTAAGGTTAGGGTTAAGTTTAGGAGTTAGGTTAAAGGGTTAAGGTTAGGGTTAAGGTTAGGAGTTAGGTTAAAGGTTTAAGGTTAGGGTTAGGGGAAGGGTTAGCTAAAAGGGTTAAGGTTAGGGTTAGGGTTAGCTAACATGCTAAGTAGTTGCAAAGTAGCTAAAAAATATATTTACACTCAAGTACTTTTAACTAATGAAGCATATCCATTGATTTGGAAGAATATGATTTACAATACTGGAGTAGGCTAATCCTGTAGAAGAATACACCATAAGATCCTACTTCCTTACTTCAGATAAAATGGTTAACTGATACTCTTCATCTTCTTATATGGCTCATCTTGTTTCACATTCCTTACAGAAAAACAGTCATGAAAAACAGAATTAAAAGTGGTGGTGCAATCTTGGTGTTCTCTATTACTGAAAAGGAAAGTTAGTGTTGTGCACGTTAAGGAGGATGTAATGATTGTGGAATGTTTTGTGTGTAGGTTCATTGGATTGAGGCTCTATCTGCTAGTAGTTCTGTTTACGTCTGTTCTGTTCTGTTCTGTTCTGTCTGCAGTCTCTATCCATGACTGTATAGGGCTGCAGTCCAAAGTGAGTCCAGGCCTTTCCTGTGAACAGCTGTCCCTGTGCTGACAAAGCAGTATGTGGCATATTGGCTAATATTTTGCTCTCCCAGTTCCCCTCATAAGAGAATGAAAACTCTGCATATCATGAACGTACAAATTGTTTCAGAGGAATTTGTCAGGAATTTCCTTCTTTTGATCCATCCTTTTCAACATGATTATTGGGTGGCTTACTAAAACAAAACACAAGATTATAATGTTGTTTTGATAGTGTCTGAGAGTCTGTATTTGAAGGAATGATCCATTCCCATCTGTCTCACTCCATAGCTGCTAGAGTCAACAGGCTCTGTTCACAACTCAATGCAATGTTACATAGTTCAGATTATATTTGTCACACCCCATTGCATCCTACTAACATCTCCAAGCCAGCATACATTACTTCTCATAGCAATTATTTATTAGAAAACAAGAACACCACCATACTCTCACATTTGTGAGTGTTCATTGGCCAGTCAGTGTGAGCGATGAGCAATAAATAATAAATGATACGTAATTTCTTTCATATAGAAGAATGAGCAGTATATTCATGCCTTGTGAGTATGCATAACCATAGACCATGCACCTTGTTTACACACAAATAGCAAGTTCATCCTTAATGAAAATATATAGGATGGCACAGAGGCAGTCAACAGCCTAAATCTGTGACAACCATAGGATTGGAGATGTAGACTTTTAAAGTTCAATCGAGTTTAAGGCTTAACTGAATGAACAACGGAGACAAAATACAATATGAAAGTTGATTAAAATAGGTTGGGGGAGTGGCCTTGTCTCAGAGGGAAGATCCTTTGATGGCAGGTAGTCCTCAACTACATATTATCTTCAATAGTCATGGTATGCTGGTTTGTAATCAATGTACTGTCCTATTCATATAACCTGTACCATATTTATCTCACTCTCATTTCTGGCCTCACACATTGGCAGCTTTAATTGAAATTTGACTGTGAAGTAAAATGCTATGATGTAGGTCGTTGTGAAGTTTAACAGCTTAAGAGGCCACCATATTGAGGAGAGCACAGAAAGACAGGGGTGCTTGTGCTTCCTAAAGAAAGCATTAATGCCCCAGGTAGAATGACAGGTCAGTAGACGTCTTGCCTTTCTCCTATTTGCATAAAAATCAGGAGTTTGAATGACCTTTGAACTGTTAACTCATTACAGTTCTGGATTGAGCATTTATTCCCACATTCAATGTATCCCCAAATGCTGTTATCTAAAGATTATAAGGTATTTTAGCCCATGGTTCCTATGGCAACCCTATTTGCATCTCAAATAATTATGTGTGGAAGGACTCGGGGACTGCAGAGAGTATCTGTGTGTCATCGCGCCTCCCCTCCCTTCCACTATTAACACAACCAACCGCTATCTGTGCTAAATTTGTTCCTTGCAGTACCTTGGAGGGGTCAGGGCACATTGGGGAACAGCAGCATTTTACAGCATTTGGCAACCAGTGATGGCTGTTGTTTTTCTGTTCTGTTCTTTCTTACCAATCTAAAAAATGCTAGCTGACATAGGCTAATTGAGTGATCGTCAGTGTCTGACATAAAAAGTTGAGACCCTGACTGAGTTCCTACATTTTTTATTTAAATGCATAGGCAGTCGTCTAGCTGACTAGCTATGCCCCCTGATATTAAGAAACCATTTAAAGTGTGTGTGTTATGATTCAGCTGTAAACATAAAGCATGAAGGAGGCTGTGTGTTAAACAAGCCACTATCCCTTCTCTTAAAGAGAGGATGAAGGAAAACTACGACAACAACAAGCATGCATCCCTGAAAAAAATAGATCTGATTATCTTTGAAGGGAGGATGAATACCATTCAGCCATGAATAGTGATGAGGTGCAGGTTGATGGGCGCCTGTTGGCCAACGATTAGGCTGGGCTTTCGCTCAACATGGCTGCTGCCAAAGTATACATTAGGAGTCACCTTGAGTGTGATTCCAATGTGTGAGATGTGATAATGCAGGCTGTTCTTTTGCCAAGCAGCGCTGATCTTTTCCCTTGCTAATCGTTGTGTGTTTTGGTGTGGTCAGTGCATATTTTCAAAAGAAAAGTGTAAGTGCACTGAGATTCTTATTTGAAGAAAGAAAAGTTATCATATGTTAATGGAGTGGTAAATGTACAACAACAGTTAAGAAATTGACTAAATGTACAAAACAGAGTCTGGCATGGTCTGAAATGAACTTTTAGTCCACCAGCTAATATGGATTGTCTATGATCGTTAAGTGACTGTGATGGTTCGTACATAGACCTAGTGGTGCTGGGGAATTCAGCGTAGAGAAGGCCAGCTTAGTTAAAATGGAGTGAGACAAGTAGCGCTAAGAGCCTATCCATTCGCACAGAGTGGAGTTGCTAGGTAACAGGTAGTGCACAGTTATGTAATTGGCAATGCCTCCAGCTTACATGTCTTATGGCTTTTCCTCCTGGGAGCCAGAGCCATCCAGGCAGCCAGGCAGTCAGAGGGAGGCTTCCTACTAAAAGCCCCATTGATCGAGCTGGTGGGTGAAGATGTGGGTTTCCTTTCCCCACCCCCCTCTGTGCAGTGTACTCCCCTAATGTCAACAATGAGAAAGGGTACACACAAGCTTAGATTGTGAGAGGGTTCATGGTTTCAATTATGTGTGTCTGCAGCACACTGATTTAATGGCCAAAAATACTCTTCATATTCTTCTGTTAAAAATATTATTTTTGTGTAATTGTGTTTGTGTTGTAGTGCCTATACTGTGTATTGTCTGACCTTTTCATTGAATTTTGTGGTTATAATATGATAGCTCATTTAGATTTCTATGGACTGAGAAAATACTTTTTCTCATACAATGTATTAAAAAACAAAGAATCCAAATGCCGCTTTACCCATGCAATGTAGTAATGTGTTTTAGAGCTAATTAAGCCTTTGTTTTTCTGTGTGTTTCAGTACTACTTCACTGTAAATTTCACCCATGAAAACCAGAAAGCCCTGGAGTTGCGTACAGAGGATGTAAAGGACGGTGATGAATGGGTGGCTGCAATAACACATGCCAGGTACCAGGCCTCTACTACAACCTGTCTACCTAGTCAACACCTGCATCAACACACACATGTGCTATTATTGATGTCTACTGTATGGCTGGGCATGAGGAATGGTTTGAAATGTACAACTTGACTGTTGGGATGTGATAGAAGTGTCATGCTGCATTAAGGCAATGTTTTTGACATACATTTCTGGGGACAAATGCTGTAGAAAACCTGATAGGGACCTTGAGAATAATTGTTTAAACATTAATGTCACCTGAGGTAAAAGTATGTATGCGGCTCATGTTAAAACATATTGCTGATATACTCTGGTTTTAGATGATGTTATTGAACTGTTAGTAGAAAATTGGTATTGTATAATTTCAGTTGAATGAAACAGGGTGACTGGTGATGTAGCTTACTGTATAATAATTATTGTGAAATAAGCAGTGCCATTGTAATGATTGGTGGTCTATTGTGACTGTGGATTTGGGCACAGCTCTGAGGTTATTCTGAACAATATGGGCCTGCTGTATTTTGATTGGTTATCTCCTATGAGATGTGCAGCAATGTAATGTAGCTACACTTAACTGAGCACAAAGGATATGAATATTCACACCACTGCATTATGAGGCTGTTCATAGACCTACACACCTGAGAGTGCTGTATGGGTACATATGTGACTGGTGGATGTATACAGTCTGCATGGGGGAGCATACAGTCTTGAGTGTGTCTATCTGGACCTCTGAAAGTATGGAAACATGTCTGTGGAGAGTTGCTGCAGTGTGTGTGAGTGTGTTTCCTATCCACAGTTACAGGAACCTGGCCACGGAGCACGAGACGCTCATGCAGAAGTATCTCCATCTAATTCAGATCGTGGAGACAGAGAAAACGGTTGCTAAGCAACTTCGACAACAGATAGAGGATGGGGAAATAGAGATTGAACGGCTAAAATCAGAGGTAATATTCATTATGATTCCTTCTGCCTCAGTGGGGGATTGTTATGTTTTTTTTTACTAAACAGGAAAGGGTTTGGAGCTTGTGTGGGATCTAGCGCAACTACAGTACAGTGAAATATCTCTCAGGAGCACCACTCAAGATTTCTAGGATTTTGTCATCTGAGTGAACTAAAACGGATAATGGCTGTGCTAGTTGTTTCTTTATGTCTATATCATTTAATAATACGAGAGAGAGAGAGATTCGGATAGATTGGGAGAGCCACTCTGTCACAAAGAGATGCAGACCCACCACTTTACATCTCCACTCACAAGCAATCCCTCCAATAGAGCTATGCTCCCTGCTGTATTCTTCAGATCAAATAGTCATTTTACTTTAATGTGCAAATGTTGGCCTTGAAATGAAATGGTGTGCTGAATATGCATGAACAAGGCTTTATTATACAGAGTGCTATCACCCCCCCCCCCCACCCCAAAAAAAAGAAATAACATTACAATAAACTCTTTCAGCCTATACAAAGTCAATGGAGACACTTCCCTTCAGACAGTTCTGAGTAGCTCCCAGCTCTTTGTGCAACACATTTATCGCTGTTCTATGTACAGCAGCACAGTATCGCACAGTGTGAGTCTGCATTTCTAACCAATGGAAATGAGTGCTGATGTAGAGATATCAGCCAAGTGAACATAATTAGTATTGCCACCACTACTACCACATGTCAGAGCTGGCAGCTTTGACAGCCTCTAAACTCATTTGGCACAGTCACTTTACCCCTACCTACAGTCACTTTACCCCTACCTACATGTACAAATTACCTCAACTAACCTGTACCCCCGCACATTGACTCGTTACTGGTACACCCTGTATATAGCCTCATTATTGTTATTTTATTGTTTTACTTATTATTATTTCTTTTTTTGTACTTTAGTTTATTTAGTAAATATTTTCTTAACTCTATTTTCTTAAAACTGCATTGTTGGTTAAGGGCTTGTAAGTAAGCATTTCACGGTAAGGTCTACACCTGTTTGTATTTGGCGCATGTGACAAATAAAATGTGATTTGTTTTGATTTGAATATGCTGGGAAGTGAGGAGGAAACTTGGAGAGCAGGTTGTGAGTGATGATGACTGGTGGATCCTGTCTGTGGCTGTCCTCTCTGGCAGATTTCCGGGCTGCACAAAGACAACGGGAAGATCCAGTCGAGTCCAACAGCCGAACCCAGTGAAGATGATGACTCTGAACTCAAGAAAATAAAAAAAGTACATATTTACACAAAAGATTTTCGACTCTATTTTCAGTATATTTGCCAATGATGCGGGAAAAAAACTCACCTTCCATTCCCCATGATTCCGGTGGTCCACTAGGTGCAGAGTTTCCTACGAGGCTGGATGTGCAGGAGGAAGTGGAAGACCATCATCCAGGACTACATCCGGTCTCCCCACGCAGAGAGCATGAGGAAGAGGAACCAGGTGGTGTTCAGCATGCTGGACTCTGAGGCTGAGTATGTCCAGCAGCTCCACATACTGGTCAACAACTTCCTCCGACCGCTCCGTATGGCCGCCAGCTCCAAGAAACCACCCATCACCCACGACGACGTCAGCAGCATCTTCCTCAACAGGTGTGCAGCTGTAGATGATCACACCAAGCTAACCACTCACACTGCTGTCTCTCACCTCTCTCTGGGAGACAGTGATTCGACTGTCTCAATGCCTTAGGAGTTTATGTTCATGCATTACAACTATGGTCGATAATGAAAACATAATGACCCTGAGATGTGATGGCATTATACTGTGTCAAAGCCTCATTCTAAGATATTTATTTTGTATTTTATTTAATCTTTATTTATATAGGTAAGTCAATTAAGAACAGATTCTTATTTGCAATGACAACCTGTCAAGAGGCAAGTGCAGCGGTATAAAATCTTAACACACTTGCACATACAGGCATATTCGCTGTTTGCATGTTTGAATCCTTTTCACCTAACTATGGCTAGTTGTGATGCGTGTGATAGAAGGAGTCAGGCGCAGGAGAGTAATACGCATCCAAAGAGTTTATTCCGTTGATAAACAGTTGCGCAAGCATGCGACAACAACACTCAGGCACAGGGGAAAATACTATCCTGGCAACAACAAGGTAAGGGTAGCTCAACCGAGCTACACACAGCTCACAACAAACAATCACCCACACAGACAAGGAAGCAGAGGGAACACTTATACAATGACTAATTGGGGATAAGGACCAGGTGTGTGTGATTAATAGACAAGACAAGTGGAGTGATGATAAATGGATCGGCAGCAGCTAGTAAGCCGGTGACGACGAACGCCGAAACCTGCCCGAACAAGGAAGGGAGGCAGCCTCGGCGGAAGTCGTGACACTAGTGTATATTTTTCTCAGAATGGACACTTAACGTCTTGTTGATTTCCCCTTTACTTTAGTGAGACCATCATGTTTCTGCATCAAATATTCTACCAAGGGTTGAAAGCAAGAATAGCAAGCTGGCCAACATTAGTTTTGGGTAAGCTGACTAAACTACATTTTTCGGGGTCATTCAATGGATGGATGAATATGATAATACTATGTCCTAAATGTCCTCATATATCATCTATCAATCTCTCATTCACTTGTTGGTCCTCTCTCTTCACAGCGGACCTGTTTGACATCCTGCTGCCCATGCTAAACATCTACCAGGAGTTTGTGAGGAACCACCAGTACAGTCTGCAGATCCTGGCACACTGTAAACAGAACCGAGACTTTGACAAGCTGCTGAAGCAGTATGAGGCCAAGCCAGACTGTGAGGAGAGGACTCTGGAGACCTTCCTCACCTACCCCATGTTCCAGGTAGGCATACTGTACTGTAAATTCCACTATCTTCTCATTGACTGTCCAGCCCCCGTCTCTCAGCTCAAACAGCTCTCTCAGTTCAGACAAAGGCTCCTCCATTGATCACCAACAACAGAGTAGCCGTTTGTCTCACATGCCTTTGCTCAGAATATCCCTGTTGTTTTTTTCATAACCACATAAACCGGTTGTTTGTGAAGCTCACGATTTCATAATGGCTCTTTTCTGGCAAGGCATGCAGTTTCAGTGCAGTCTGCTGGACTGGGGTCTACTTTGGACTCTGCTGTGTTGGTAATACATTTCTACTGATGACTGTGGATGTGCATAGAGGTCCCTACTGATCTGCTGCTATGAGTTTGATTGTGTTCATCTGTGTGTGTGTGTGTGTGTGTGTGTGTGTGTTTGCACGCAATCTTTTATGCAAGTGTGTGTGACTCACCTGCCCCTATTCATTCACTGTCACTCCAGATTCCCCGCTACATTCTTACTCTCCATGAGCTCCTGGCCCACACACCACATGAGCATGTGGAGAGGACGAGTCTGGACTACGCCAAGTCAAAGCTGGAGGAGCTGTCCAGGTATACCTGCCCTACCACCTTATAGCGCCAAAGCAGCACACAGGACACCTCCGTTTATCAATGCTTACTGGACAGAATGTATGCACACTGACAAAGTGAATACAATGACGTTCCATATGTGAAAAGACCAACCTCTCTGCCCCTAGAATCATGCATGATGAGGTGAGCGAGACAGAGAACATCAGGAAGAACCTGGCCATTGAGCGCATGATCGTAGAGGGCTGCGAGATCCTCCTTGACACCAGCCAGACGTTCGTCAGACAAGGTAAGCTCACAGAGAAGCTACACAAAGGAACTCCAGATCCCACATAAAGACAGAATCATAGAGGTGGATTTTCTACCTCGCAACTGTTTGACTGCCAGTGCCTTTGTGTTCTCACAACTTCAAACCTCCATAGGCCTACCTGAGCCTCCATAAGGGAAATACTTAACCAGCAGCTTGGGCCATATAATCTTGTCTGCCTTTATAGCATGTACTGAAAGTGGGCCAACTCTTTCATTTCCAAGGGTAATCAGGCTGTTAGGAGGCATTCCGATGGTGATTCAGGGACTGTAAATGTCATACATCCCCAACGGACTTTGATGGACATATAAAGAAGAGGCAAATCATATAGAGAAATGGTTTAACCCTACAGTATGTATATATCCCCCCAGTCATTGAACAGGTGGAGGAGGCCTCTCCCAGTCTTGCAGTACAGTTGATCTGTGGGCCCTCATCACTAACTTGACTCCCCGCTGTCTGTCTCTCCCCCTTCTGCCATACAGGCTCTCTCATCCAGGTGCCAATGAGTGAGAAGGGCAAGATCACCCGTGGGCGACTGGGCTCTCTGTCTCTGAAGAAAGAGGGGGAGAGGCAATGCTTCCTCTTCTCCAAGCATGTCATCATCTGCACCAGGGGCTCTGGAGGGAAACTGCACCTCACCAAGGTGGGCCTGCCTTGGGCAGCTGAGCCTGCTATACAATCCCTTAAGATGCATCCTGGACCAAAACAAATTACAATACATAGATGAGGCTTTCGTTAATACCAATACATATAATCATGGTCCTATGATATTGAAGTCAACCCACTCTTAAAGGAGTCCCTTATTACTTGGGTGCTGATTTACTCTGTTTATTGACCTGTAGTCCTACATGTGTTGAAAGGTGTCATGCTACATAATAATATCAGTGATATTGTTATTGATTATTCAGTAGTGGAGGGGATTCTTGGAATGTGGTTGTGAGTGTGCTAATGCATATTGTATGTTGTTCTCAGAATGGCGTGGTCTCTCTTATTGACTGCACTCTTCTGGAAGACCCCGAGGGGACAGATGATGAGGGTAAGCACCGCACTGTTTCATTCCTATCTCACTGAAATATGGAGCACATATGCTTACTGTATGTAGAGTGTAAGATATGGTAAGATTTAGTATTACACTTTTATGAAGTATACTGTTCATTTAGAAGTACAATAAACCTCTAATTTATGCCATAGTAATGACCCATTTCTCCTATTCACCTCTGTTTGTTTTGCCCAAAGCCAAACCAGACAAGGGTGTACAGGACATGGAGCACCTGGACTTTAAGATTGTGGTGGAGCCTAAAGAAGGCCAGTCGTTCACAGTGATCCTGGTGGCCTCCTCGCGGCAGGAGAAATCTGCCTGGACCAGTGACATCAGCCAGGCACGTCTGCTCTGCTCTCCTCTGCTCTACTCTGCATGCATCACGTCTGTCTGTCTCCAGCAGGGAGACATGGGGCCTGGGTGTCTGTCTGCAGAGTGGCTGTTCTCACACCTTTCCTCTCCCTTAACCTTCCCTCTCCCTTACAGTGCATAGACAACATCCGCTGCAATGGGCTTATGATGAACGCATTTGAGGAGAACTCTAAAGTTACCGTGCCACAGATGATCAAGTAAGCCCCATTCACAACCACAGCCAAACAGTCAATGGGATTATCATGCACCATACCGATCTTTGTGTGGTCTTTATTTGTGTGTTCTAGTGTTTTCATATGCGTTTGTGTTTTTTTTCTGTGAGCAGGTCGGACGCCAGCCTCTACTGTGACGACGTGGACATCCGTTTCAGTAAGATGATGAACTCGTGTAAGGTGCTGCAGATCCGCTATGCCAGCGTGGAAAGACTTCTGGAGAGGCTGACCGACCTGCGCTTCCTCTCGATCGACTTCCTCAACACCTTTCTGCACTCCTACCGCGTCTTCACCAGCGCCGATGTGGTGCTGGACAAACTCATCACTATCTACAAGAAGCCCATCAGTGCCATCCCAGCCCGGTAAGGCCATAAAAGAGCTGCTAATGCTTTACCATTTAGCCTTGACTTTGACCAACACAGTCAGAAAAATCTCAATCTATCTCATGCATAGTGCTGTTTAAAGATGATACATTGCCAGTGTTTTTGCATGGCCTTGGCCCCTACACAGTAATGAGGGCTGTAGTTAGGGCTGGTGATGATAACATCCCCTGACAGGCCCAGCAGCCTCTGGCCTCCTTTGGCTGCCTCTCTCTCCTCTAGCCCACCACTGATCTCCTCACAGCTCTTTTTCCACAGCCCACAGTATTACTTCTTTACCATGTGTGTTTGTATGTGTGTGTGGGTGGGTGGGTGGGTGGGTGCATGTGCGTGCGCACGTGTTTGTGTATCTGTGTGCCTGCATGTGTGTGTGATGGAAGGTAAGGTGAGGAGAGCTGGGTAGAGGTCATGTCTGTGTGTGTCAGTGTGGTTGGTGTGTGTTCTGTGTGAGAAGGCAGTAATTGGGCCCAGACTCTTCTTCTGCCTGCCTAAGAGCGTCTCAGCAGGGCTCTGTCGCTGTCACCTTAGCAACTGGCCTCTCTGCTGCAGGACCCCACCCTCCCCTGGTCTGCAGAGGATCTATAGTATGAAATATTTATGGTGCATGTTGTCGGCCAGAGCAGAGCAGAGCCTCTCTCCGGCCCAGGAGAGTGAGCTCAGCTCCAAGGCTCAGATCAGGGGGAGCTCCCTCCCCATGCCCACACTCTGCAGCATGTTCTCCTGTGGAGCCTGTCATGTCTCTGTGAGCCACCGCCACTCTAATGCTTGTTTTAGCAGCATGGCCGCTCGCTCTGTCACTCGCTGTGCTATTTATGGAAACCCGTGAGGTCGCAAGGAGGGTGGCAGTGAGCGGGAGAGAGGCTGCAGAAGCACCATCTTGCTTTGTTGCTGTTGACAATGTATTGATTCATTTTTGTCATTTAGCAGACGCTCTTATCCAGAGCGACTTACAGTAGTGAGTACATACATTTTCATTTGTACTGGTCCCCCGTGGGAATCAAACCCACAACCCTGGCGCTGCAAGTGCCATGCTCTACCAACTGAGCCACACAGGACTATTGATAGAACACAGAAAGACATGGATAATTCTGATCTCTTTGTTCTTTGCAAGGATGTACTGTAGCTAAAGTACATAGTTACAGTACATCCTTCTGACTAAAATAAAATGTTTTTTTTTTTTCCTGATGCAGATCCCTGGAGTTGTTCTTCGCCAGCAGTCAGAACAATAAACTCCTATACGGGGAGCCTCCCAAATCCCCCAGGGCCAGCCGTAAGTTCTCCTCACCCCCTCCCCTGGCTATCACCAAGACATCGTCCCCCAACCGCCGACGTAAACTCTCCCTCAACATCCCCATCATCACTGGGGGCAAGGCTCTGGACCTGGCCGCCCTCAGCTGCTCCTCCAACGGCTATGCAAGCATGTACTCCTCAATGTCCCCCTTCAGCAAGACCACCCTGGACATCAACAAGCTCTATGTCACCAGCCCCATCACCAGCAAGATCCCTGATGAGGGAGAGGGCAAGACAGACAAGGCAGAGGAGACCATTTTGTCTAAACAAGGTAAGCCAGCTAATCTGCATTGTGAAGGTGTGGTATATATATATGTCCTTATTGGTGCTTCTTAAGAGGAATATTGGGCAATTTATTTGAATATAGCACAGGATTTGAATCATGACAGGTGTCTAGAATGTGGTATTTACTGACCTGTTTTGCGCTTGGTGTACTGTAGATATTTCAGTTCCGGAGGAAAGTGACATTGACCAAAACCAGTGCGATGACGCAGACCCAGAAACGTCTCCTACCAAGTCGCCAACCACCCCCAAAAACATGAAGTGCAAAAACTCTTCAGGTACATTGTGTCCCAGACAGCACAGTGGTGTCATTATCGCTCAGTGCCATGATACCAGAGCACCTGGATCACATGCTGGCATGCCACCTGCATCCTCCTCTCAGCCAAAATGCCATATGTATCAATAACTCAAATATGCTCTCCTGTTTGACAAGGGAAACAGAGTCAGAATTAAGAAATCGAAGCACACATTTTCAATGGATTGTTACTTTTATATGTATTTACCCTATTTATGTTATATATCTATCTCTGTCTTTAATAGAAATAGTCAAACATGATAGAGAAAAAGTATTTTCTACACCTATTCAATTGTCAATGCCCTGGTGCATACACTCAAAGAATGCTGCATTCTGTGTGCAATGATCTCCGCCACACAAGATTAAATTCATGCAGACTGTAATTTGGTGGCGAGAATAAGAACATGCTCGGAAAGCCAGGAATGAGTAGGTGTTGGGGATACTTGTGTCATAGCAACTACAGCATCAGCGTGTTTCCCTGCCTGCCGCCCCCGGTAACGAGGTTGTTTTAGTACAAAACAGTCAGTGAAGCAGGCTTTTGTTGTCTGTCTCCCAGCTCCAGGCACGTGCACAGATCAAATCAAATCAAAAGTTTAATTTGTCACATGCGCCGAATACAACAAGTGTAGACCTTATGGTGAAATGCTTACTTACAAGCCCTTAACCAACAATGCAGAGTAGGAAAATATTTGCTAAATAAACAAAAGTTTAAAAAGTAACACAATAAAATAACAACAACGAAGCTATATACAGGGGGTACCGGTACCGAGTCAATGTGCCGGGGTATGGGTTAGTTGAGGTAATTGAGGTCATATGTACATGTAGGTAGGGGTAAAGTGACTATGTATATATAATAAACAGCGAGTAGCAGCAGCGTAAAAAAGGGGATCAAATCAAATTGTATTTGCCACATGCGGCGAATACAACAGGTGTAGACATTACAGTGAAATGCTTACTTACAAGTCCATAACCAACAATGCAGTTTAAGATTTTTTTTTAAAATAGCAAATAATTAAAGAGCAGCAGTAAAATAAAATAACAGTAGGTAGGTAGGTTATATACAGGGGGTACCGGTATAGAGTCAATGTGCGGGGGCACCGGTTAGTCGAGGTAATTGAGGTCATATGTACATGTGGGTAGAGTTAAAGTGACTATGCATAAATAATAAACAGAGTAGCAGCAGCATAAAATAGGGGGTTGGGGTTGGGGTGGGATGGGATGGGGGGGCATTGCAAATAGTCTGGGTAGCCATGATTAGCTGTTCAGGAGTTTTATGGCTTGGGGGTAGAAACTGTTAAGAAGCCTTTTGGACCTAATCCTGTAATCCATGGCTTCTGGTTGGGGTATGTACGTACAGTCACTGTGGAGACGACATCATCGATGCACTTATTGATGAAGCCAGTGACTGATGTGGTGTACTCCTCAATGCTATCGGAAGAATCCCGGAACATATTCCAGTCTGTGCTAGCAAAACAGTCCTGTAGCTTAGCATCTGCGTCATCTGACCACTTCCTTATTAACTGAGTCACTGGTGCTTCCTGCTTTAGTTTTTGCTTATAAGCAGGAATCAGGAGGATAGGGTTATGGTCAGATTTGCCAAATGGAGGGCGAGGGAGAGCTTTGTACGTGTCTCTGTGTGTGGAGTAAAGGTGGTCTAGAGTTTTTTTCCCTCAGGTTGCACATTTAACATGCTGGTAGAAATGAGGTAGAACGGATTTAAGTTTCCCTGCATTAAAGTCCCCAGCCACTAGGAGTGCTGCCTCTGGATGAGCGTTTTCCTGTTTACTTATGGCCTTATACAGCTCATTGAGTGCAATCTTAGTGCCTGCATCGGTTTGTGGTGGTAAATAGACAGCTACGAAAAATATAGATGAAAACTCTCTTGGTAAATAGTGTGGTCTGCAGCTTATCATGAGATACTCAGGCGAGCAAAACCTTGAGACATCCTTAGTATTTGATTTTATGCACCAGCTGTTGTTTACAAATATACACAGACCGCCACCCCTTGTCTTACCGGAGTCAGCCGTTCTATCCTGCCGATGTAGCGTATATCCCGCCAGCTGTATATTATCCATGTTGTCGTTCAGCCACGACTTGGTGAAACATAAGATATTACTGTTTTTTATGTCCCGTTGGTAGGATAACCGTAATCTTAGGTCGTCTAATTTATTTTCAAATTATTGAACATTGGCTAATAGGATTGATGGAAGAGGCAGTTTACTTGCTCGCCGTCGGATCCTTACAAGGCACCCTGACCTACGTCCATGATATCTCTGTCTCTTTCTCATGCGAATGGCGGGGATTTTGGCCTTGTCGGGTGTCTGTAGGATATCCTTCGCGTCCGACTCGTTGAAGAAAATATCTTTGTCCAATAGGAGGTGAGTAATCGCTGTCCTGATATCCAGAAGCTCTTTTTGGTCATAAGAGACCGTGGCAGAAACATTATGTACAGAATAAATGACAAATAACGCAAAAAAACACACATAATAGTACAATTGGTTAGAGGGAGCCATTCTTTGGAGCCATTCTTAAGGAACACCTCAATGCAAATAGTCTGGGTAGCCATTTGATTAACTGTTCAGCAGTCTTATGGCTTGGGGGTAGAAGCTGTTAAGGAGCCTTTTGGACCTAGACTTGGCGCTCCGGTACCGTTTGCCATGCGATAGCAGAGAGAACAGTCTATGACTTCGGTGGCTGGAGTCTTTGACAATTTGTATGGCCTTCCTCTGACCACGCCTGATATAGAGGTCCTGGATGGCAGGAAGCTTAGCCCCAGTGATGTACTGGGCTGTACGCACTACCCTCTGTATGCCTTGCGGTCGGATGCCGAGCAGTTGCCATACCAGGTGGTAATGCAACCAGTCAGGATGCTCTCGATGGTGCAGCTGTATAACTTTTTGAGGATCTGAGGACCCATGCCAAATCTTTTCATTCTTCTGAGGGGGAATAGGCGTTGTAGTTCCCTCTTCACGACTGTCTTGGTGTGTTTGGACCATGATAGTTTGTTGGTGATGTGGACACCAAGGAACTTGAAGCCCTCGACATGCTCAACTACAGCCCCGTCAATGTGAATAAGGGCGTGCTTGGCCCTCCTTTTCCTGTAGTCCTTTGTCTTGCTCAAGTTGAGGGAGAGGTTGTTGTCCTGGCAGTGAGGTCTCTGACCTCCTCCCTATAGGCTATCTCATCACTGTTGGTGATCAGGCCTACCATCGTTGTGTCGTCAGCAAACTTAATGATGGTGTTGGAGTCGTGCTTGGACACGCAGTCGTGGGTAAACAGGGAGTACAGGAGGGGACTAAGCACGCACCCCTGAGGGGCCCCCGTGTTGAGGATCAGCGTCACAGATTTGTTGTTGCCTACCCTCACCACCTGGAGGTGGCCTGTCAGGAAGTCTAGGATCCAGTTGCAGAGGGAGGTGTTTAGTCCCAGGGTCCTTAGCTTAGTGATGAGCTTTGAGGGCACTATGTTGTTGAACGCTGAGCTGTAGTCAATGAACAGCATTCTCACGTAGATGTTCCTTTTGTTCAGGTGGGAAAGGGAAGTGTGGAGTGCAATAGAGATTGTTTCATCTGTTGGGGTGGTATGCGAATTGGAGTGGGTCTAGGGTTTCTGGGATGATGGTGTTGATGTGAGCCATGACCAGCCTTTCAAAGCTCTTCATGGCTACAGACGTAAGTGCTACGGGTCGGTAGTCATTTAGGCAGGTTACCTTGGCGTTCTTTGGCACAGGGAATATGGTGGTCTGCTTGGAACATGTAGGTATTTTAGACTCGGTCAGGGAGAAGTTGAAAATGTCAGTGAAGGAACTTGCCAGTTGGTCAGCGTATGCTCTGAGTACACGTCCTGGTAATCCATCTGGCCCTGTGGGCTTGTGAATGTTGACCTGTTTAAAGGTCCTACTCTCATCGGCGATGGAGAGTGTGATCACACAGTTGTCCGGAACAGCTGGTGCTCTCATGCATGCTTCAGTGTTGCTTGCCTTGAAGTGCGCATAGAAGTAATTTAGCTCGTCTGGTAGGCTCGTGTCACTGGGCAGCTCGCGGCTGGGCTTCCCTTTGTAATCCATAATAGTTTGCAAGCAATTCTGCCACATCCGACAAGCGTCAGAGCCGGTGTAGTACGATTCAATCTTAGTCCTGTATTAACGCTTTGCCTGTTGGACGGTTCGTCAGAGGGCATAGCGGAATTTCTTATAAGCGTCCAGATTAGTGTCCCGCTCCTTGAAAGCGGCAGCTCTAGCCTTTAGCTCAGTGCAGATGTTGCCTGTAATCCATGGCTTCTGGTTGGGGTATGTACGTATGGTCACTGTGGGGACGACGTCATCGATGCACTTATTGATGAAGCCAGTGATTGATGTGGTGTACTCCTCAATTCCATCGGATGAATCCCGGAACATATTCCAGTCTGTGCCAGCAAAACAGTCCTGTAGCTTAGCATCTGTGTCATCTGACCACTTCCGTATTGAGCAAGTCACTGGTACTTCCTGCTTTAGTTTTTGCTTGTAAGCAGGAATCAGGAGGATAGAGTTATTGTCAGATTTACCAAATGGAGGGCGAGGGAGAGCTTTGTACAGGTCTCTGTGTGTGGAGTAAAGGTGGTCTAGAGTTTTTTTTCCCTCTGGTTGCACATGTGACATGCTGCACAAGTTTTCCCGCATTAAAGTCCCCCAGCCACTAGGAGCGCCGCTTCTGGATGAGCATTGTCTTGTTTGCTTATGGCCTTATACAGCTCGTTGAGTGCAGTCTTAGTGCCAGCATCGGTTTGTGGTGATAAATAGACAACTACGAAAAATATCGTGTGGTCTATAGCTTATCATGAGGTACTCTACCTACTCTACCTATCTAGTAAAACCTTGAGTCTTCCTTAATATTAGAGATTATGCACCAGCTGTTATTGACAAATAGACACAGACCACCACCCCTCGTCTTACCGGAGGTAGCTGTTCTGTCTTGCCGATGCATAGAAAACCCAGCCAACTGTATATTATCCATGTCGTCGTTCAGCCACGACTCGGTGAAACATAAGATATTACAGTTTTTAACGTTCCGTTGGTAGGATAGTCTCGAACGGAGATCATCCAGTTTATTCTCCAATGATTGCACGTTGGCCAATAGGACGGATGGTAGAGGCAGGTTACCCACTCGC